TCAAAATCTTACTGAAGGTTACTCAGTGGTTTGTTATCAAATAGGAGGAAGCTGTCAAGAGGAGCGCCACCAGGATCAGTTCTTTTGTTAATGACTTGGATGAAGAGGTGGAGATAACACAAAATTAGGTGGGGTGGCTAATGGTTTAGAAGACAGGAAAAAAAATGAAGAAATTCACGGAAAATTAGAGAATCAAACTTAACAGAATGATTTCTTCACTTAGGAAACAACAATCAGATGAGCAGGTACAGTATGGGAGATACCTGGCTTAATGATGGTCCTTGTGAAGAAGATCTTGGTTGATTGCAAAATGAATATGAGCCAGCAGTGTGGTATGGCTGCCAAAAAAAAAAAAAAAAAAGCAAATTCAGTTTAGGCTACATCAATGGAAGTATACTATAGAGTGGAACAATTATTCATGGGAAATAATTGTTCCACTCTATTCTACTTTGGTCTGACCAACCTCAACTACGTCCAGTTATGAGCACAGCATTTAATGATTAATTCAGACAAACTGAAAGAGGTTCAGCGAACGAGGATGGACAGAGGACTAGAAGGTGAATCTTAGGAAGAGAGACTGAAGGATCTAAGTTTGCTTAGCCCAAGAAAAGTTGACTGAGGGGAATAACTCATAGGGTGCCCCTTGGCCGTCCTGAAATATATATGGAAGAATGGATTGCGTGTACAGGAAGGCAGATTCCGGATGAACGTTAGAGAAAATGTCCAACCCAGAAGAACAGTTCAAGAGTAGAACCAGAAAGCAGGGGGCTCCTCTGCATTGGAGGCGTTTGGGCAAAAGTTGGGCAGCCGTCTGAAGCAAAGGTTTGAGGCTGGATGCCTGATGTGATCAGAAAGTTGGGCTTGATGACCTCATTGGTTCCTCCCAACTCTAGGATTCTGTGACTGCACGTGACTCCGCTGAGTTCTGTCTCCTTTAAGCATCCTCCCACCCTGATAATAAAGGACGGCAGCCAATATGTAGTGAGCACTCCGCCAGTCAAGAAAATCCTTGGAGGACTTTTCCCCAAAGTCCCCAGCGTTGCTGCCCTGGACATGAACATTCCTTGCCCGACGTTTTCCTCCTGATGTGCTTCTGTCTTTGTAGGATTGTTTTGCTTTTGCTGGGCTTGTTCTTGGTGGAATTTGGTCCACCCCTGGGTTAGGGTTAGGGTGAGAAAAATAGGTTTTTCTTCTGATTTACTTACACCTTGCTTGTATAAATGTGAGTTTCCAGAAGATGAAAGCTTGGTTTTATTTCCAGCAGCTGTTTTAAGCCATTGAGCACTGACTATTGTCTGGAACAAGGTCCTTCTTTGAGGGCTGAAGCTGACAAGGTGGTGGCCACAGAGAGGACCTCTGGATAGCTAACTACGGAGCACGTGCCTTGCAATATCCAGTCTGCAAAAACAGCAGCGAAGAATCTGTTAGCATGTAAGGGCTGGAGGAAGAGACCCAGAGCTTAAACTCTAGAGTCTACCCACAGCAGGGTTTCTCAACCATATCAACTTTAAGATGGGTGGACTTCAACTCCCAG